GACGAGGGGGTGAGCGGGGAGGGGTCCTGGGCTGGGGCCGGCGTGGGCCAGGGCAGGGGTGTTGTTGCAAGAGGCTTAGTGGGGAGGATCCGAGCGGGAGATGGTGTCTGGCAAGGGGCTAGGTGGGCTGGGCTGGGCGTGCATGATAACCGTGAGGTAGTCCATGGGGCCTTTTTAAACTTCTTCCCCAACCTGGGGGGTTGAACCTCGGGCCTCCCACTTACGCCAGCTTGATGATGGCGATGTCGTTGCTGGAACCCAGACGAGGGGGTGAGCGGGGAGGGGTCCTGGGCTGGGGCCGGCGTGGGCCGGGGCAGGGGTGTTGTCGCAAGAGGCTTAGTGGGGAGGATCCGAGTGGGAGATGGTGTCTGGCAAGGGGCTAGGTGGGCTGGGCTGGGCGTGCATGATAACCGTGAGGCAGTCCATGGGGCCTTTTTAAACTTCTTCCCCAACCTGGGGGGTTGAACCTCGGGCCTCCCACTTGCTCAGCCACTAAACTACCTTCCCAGCCCCTTTAAAATTTTTATTTTGACACAGGATCTCACTAAGTTCCCCGGGATGGCCTTGAACTTGTGAGTCTCCTGCTTCAGCCCCGAGTAGCTGGGCTACAGGTATGCACCAGATGCCATTTAAACATTTTCAGTTATCAGAACAAGAGCTGAACAGATCTACACAGACGTGGTTTGATTCCCGATTTTGCCCTGCACTGGGCTGTGTGACCCAGGACCTTGTTCTCACCCTCCCTGAGTCGCGGTTCCCTGTCCCCTAGATGAATAAGGGGCGGCACTGCACAAAGCCTCCGGCAGGACACTCAGGCCCTTGGGCCCTCGCCAGTGTTACAGCGGGAGGTGTGGTCTGCACTCAACACCTGCCACTGGCTGTGCGGGGCGTGCACAGGGCACCCTGGGCGGCTGGCACTCACTGCACCAGGAGGGCGTTCCACTTCTCATGCACGTGGATGGCGTCCACGCCCACGGTCACCGAGCCCTCCTCGTCCGGCTCTGTCAGGTTGCTCTTGCCCAGGGCCACGCGGTAGGTCAGGGATTTGCTGGCGGCAGAAGGCACCGGGTCAAGGTGGAGCCAGCCCCTCGTCCTGACCCTCTGGAGGATGAGGGCAAGGGTGCGAGCGCCCGGCTCACGCTGTGGTTTTGCTGCTGCCCCTGGGAGCCCTGGGCCTTGGTTTCCTCATCGGAAAGTGGGGCAGTGGTGACCGAGTCCAAGCTGCCTGGCCTCTTGCTGTCTCCATAGCGCACCGGCTGCCTCACTTCCTCGGCTCTGCCCGCCACAGTTTTTATTAGGATGTGTTTGCAGCACACAGTGATTACATTCCTCGAGCGGGGCTGGCGCATGAACTAAGCTTGTCATTAATAGGTTTAATTTTTTTCTTGCAGTACTAGAGGTTGAACCCAGGACCTTGGGTATGCTAGCCAAGCACTCTGTTGCTGAGATACATCCCTGCTCCCCTGGCCACGTTGAAGCCTGTCCTCAAGTCAGCTGAGTGAGTTTCTTAAATAGACAGCAAGCTGGGTGTGTTGGCATACGCCTGAAGTCTCAGCACTCAGGAGGCCGAGGCAGGAGGACTGACACAAGTTCAGCACCAGCCTGGGCTGCACAGTGAGTTCAAGGGCAGCCTAGACTACATACGGAGACCCTGCTTTAAAAAACAAAACGAGACGAAACAAAATGAGGCCAACCAGGTGTGCGCTGGCTCTGATCCCCAGGGCGGCTCCGACTCTCAGGCTCAAGAGTGAGGCTGTTAGAGAAACCTGCAGCACTGTTCTGCCACGCCGCTTCCCGGCTCTCCCTGCCCCTCTTCTCCTGCCACCCAGATCACCTTCCTTCCCCAGACCCGCGCCCCTCTGCTCTTGCCCGCACGTTTCTGCTCATGTGTGCCCTGCGGTCTCAGCTCTGGAGACCCTCATCCTCTGCCTCCTCTTCTGGCCTCATTGGTCTCGTCCCCGCTAGCTACGCTCTAGTTTACTCGGCCAGCCGTTTCTCGGACTGTGTCCTCTGCTGTGCGTCCTGGCACGTGGGCGTGTACACAGGGAAAGTCTGTTGATCGCAGGAGTGAACAACTGGGCTGCTGGATGTAGGCAGCCTATTGAGCCCTGTGCCTGGCGTGTGTATTAGGTGCTCAATAAAAGCAGCCGGCTCAGACTCCCGCCCCAGGGTGACGGCCGGTCCCGGGCACTGTCCACTCACTCAATGCAGTGGGCGGCGGTGAGGACGTGCTGGCTGCTGATCAAGGAGCCGCCACACGTGTGCCTCCACTCGCTGTCCTTGAGGTACTGCAGGGAGATCTTCGGGCAGACAGGAGACCCCGTTTCAGCCTGCGCTTGGGCCACCCGCCGCCCCGTCCCTCCCGTGCCACAACATCCTCACCTGCCAGGGCCAGCTGTGGGCCACGGCGTTGTCTCCCCCGACCACCCTGGCAGACACATTCGGCGGGAAGCTGGGGACCCCGCAGCTGGAGGCTGGGGGGCACAGGGAGGGGGGCAGACACAGCTGTGACGTTTAGTGCGTGGCCTGCGGGGGGCATCTAGGTCTCTGGGCCTCGACTTCCCTTTCTGCAGAGTTGGGGCGTGGCATAATGTGGCGAGTTTGTCCTGAGAGCTACAGTAGCCCTGGGGATCCGGAGTCTTCTGTGCTGAGACACCTGGTTCTGCTACCAGCCATGTGATCCTGGGCTGACATCCAACTCCTGGGCCTTTGTCCTCACTGCAAACTGGGGACCCACACAGACCCTGTCTTTCAAGGTTGCCTTGAGGATCATCTTAGCTCCGGCCTGTAAAGGGCTCAGCCCAGCTCCCTGCACATAACAAACGCACCGTAAACAGGAGCTGCTATCATTACTGCTGTCATTGCTGTTGTTGGCTGGAAGGAGTCTTAATTAAGTGCTCTCATTTGCCTGACAGCCAGTGAGAGTGAGAGAGGCCAGGGACTTGAACTACTCCTGCAGAGAGCAGAGGACGTTTAGCTGGGACCTTGGTTCCAAAACGGGGGAGCAAAGGCTGCCGGGAAAGGTGATGCTCCTTTGTCCCGGCCTCGCCCAGGGCTTCCCGCGACCCGTCCCCCAGCCACACTCCTCTGGGGGCGGCGCTCGCCGGCCATGTGCTGCAGGGCAGAGGCTCCCCGGACAAACAGCTGCCCTGCGGCCCGACCCGCAGTGGCCCCAAGGTGAGCTTCCCCATCCCCCGCTTACCAAAGGCCAGGAGCGCAGCGAGGACCGCGATGCCCAGCATGGTGTGGGTGGTGGGACTGCCCGGGTGTCCAGGTGGGAAGGGCACTTATAGGCCCGAGCCGGGGAGGCCTGCAGGTCAAGGCCAGGCTGTCCCAGCAAGAAACCTGCTGGGCAAGGCCGTTTCCCTGACCTTGGGTGGTTATTGTTTAATTTGGGTGAGAAACAGGGATGCCTTGAAAGCATGGCTTTCCAAATATCCCTGGACAGAGCACATTCTGAGGGGCCGCATGGGGGCTGCCTCCCGGAGCTTGGAGTGCATTCGTGTTCCCCTTCCTACCTCGCTGTCTGTAGGTATTGATCAGGCATCTGTTAGGTATGAGCCAGCACATGCTCCCTGGTTCTTGCATGATCTCATTTGAAAGTTTTTTCTGAGTTGGCTACCCCGTGCCCCTTAGGAATTGTTTCCTGATTAAAAAAAAAAAAAAAAAAAGCGCTATGTACTGGGTTAACTGGGGATAAGGAGGATTCTAACTTGCAAAAAATTTTTGAAAGAGGAATGAATTACTTTGTTAGTATAAAATCAATGAGCTCAATTGAAAAACAGCCACAGCATGGGAAATAAAGGCCCAGAGAGGCGGGTATATGAGGGTGTGGGGCCTGGCCTGGCCTGGGCTCTCAGGCTTCCTGCTCAGAGAGGGGCTGCGGAGCGCTGCCCGGCTCACCTCTTCACTGCGCTGAGCTGCACACTGAACAAGGGGACAGGGCTGAGAGCAGGGCTTGGTGGCAGGAGACAGGGTGCCTGGTCCCTGTGTCAGCCCCCAGCCCTGGGTGCCCTCTTTGGGCCTCGCACTCTCTGGAACCAGGGACTCCCAAGGCCTGTGTCACCTGCAGGAGGCATCCGGGTATTCTCAGACCCACGCAGAGCACGTGCCGCGCGGTAACTCCACGTGGACAGTGATGGTCCCCTCTGCATTGGGAAGGTGGCGCCAGAAGAAGAGGGCTGCTGCTGTTTTAGTGTTTACGGAGAAACGGAGCCTTTTTTGGAGGTAAGGAGGTTGCTGGCTGCTCACGATTTAGGGCGACTTCCTTGTTCTGAGATGTCTGCTAGCTGGGGCCCCTGCGGAAGGCAACACCAAATATTTGTCCCCGAGAAACCTAAGACCTCCTTCACGTGCTGCACATGCTGAAGACGGGATGTGTATGAGGGCTTTTGCAGGGCTGGGCTACTCCACAAGGGAAGGAAAACTGCTTTCCTGCTGTGTGACCTTTTGATCGTGATTTAACCTCTTTGGGTATTCTCTCTCTCTCTCTCTCTCTCTCTCTCTCTCTCTCTCTAAAATGGAGGTAGCCAAGCATGGTGGCACACGCCTGTAATCCCAGCAAACTCAGGAGGCTGAGGCAGGAAGATCGCTATGAATTCCAGGTCAGCCTTGGCTACATAGTGAGTTCAAGGCCAGCCTTTTTGAGATCCTGTCTCAAAACAAAAACAAAAACAAAAAAAAACCCCAAAACAAAAAAGGGACCTGCCTCCTCAGGCTGTTTGAGGAGTGTCTGATATGAGGTAGAAACTATCCAGGGTTTGTTGTTATCATTATTGTTGTTATTTAGCCCTTCTGAGAAAGTTTGAGTCTGAGCTAGGTGCGGCAGTGTACACCTGTAATCCCAGCTGCTTGGGAGGCTGAGGCAGGAGGATTGCAAGTTCAACGCCAGCCCGTGCTACTCAGCAAGGTTCTGTCTCAAGATAAATTAAAAAGAGCTGAGATGTTGCTTAGTAGTACAGTGGCCCTGGGTTTAACCCCAAGCATGGAAAGAGAACGAGAAACTTAATAAGAGAGACTTAACCGTCATCAGGCTCCTTACCCTTCTTGAGCCCCTTCCTCAAAATACATTAAAAGTTGGCCAGGTGTGGTGGCGCACAGTGCAAGTTCGAGACCAGCCTGGGCTACACAGTGAGTTCCAGAGCAGTCTGAGCTACATAGTGAGACCCTGTCTCAAAAAAAAAAAAAAAGAAGTCATTTTTTATGACTGTACGAATATAAAGTCATAACTTTCTTTTATTGATTTTTAAGATTTCAAGACATTTTTGTGGGCCCTGGGCTGGGCTCCTGTCCCTGCCAAGTGGACAGTGATCCCACGTGAGGTCACCTGTGACTGGATGGCCTTGAGGCTGGGCACCTGACAGGGTCATCCCTGCACCTCCTCTGGGCCTGACCTACATCCCACAAGCCCTGGCAGCCAGGAGAAAATTGCCCTCGCCCAGGCTGCAGGGCAGCAGGACCTGCCCGGGTGACACTTGTCAGAGGGTGCCCTACACTGGGTTGGCCGTTACGGGAGCAGCTGGGGCTGGATAGGCAGAGGGGGGCCCTGGGAGGAGAGCTGCCTGTGACCCAAGAAGCCAGAGATCTCGCTGGATTCGCCGGCAAATTTAGGGTTCGGACTGCTGTTTGCCTGTGAGGCGCTGACATGCTGCATGTACGTACATGAATCCACACACTCCTGTGTGCGGCAGGCCTGTGCTGGGCCTGAGCATCTTGAGATCAGACCTTGTTCTGGAGGGTGGCGGCAGGAGAAGTTTCCTTCTCTGCAGATTGTGCGTGCAGTGAGCTGTGGGGTTTCTGGGGTCTGGACTGGGGCCTCCCAGGACCTTGGCCACGGCGTCACTGAGCTGTCTGGGACAGGCTGTGCTGGAAAAACAAGCACAAGAAATGTGCACTGGGGCCTCGGCAGAGCAATGCCGAGGTTGGGTGAAGGCCTGAGAAACCAGCAGGTGCCACTGACAGGGCCATGTTTGCTGCCTGCTGGGACAGGATCTGGGGGCAGCTGCTGCCTCTCGGGGTGTGGGGGGTTGGGGCGGTGGGAGGGGGCTCGGGGAGAAGACGGGGCCTGGGCAGGGTTCTAAGGAGCCAAGTTTCCTGGTCCCCGATCCCTTGCAGCTTCTTCATTCCCAGTGCCTCCCCGCCAGGGCTGGCAGTGGGTGTTGTGCAGGCCGAGCCTGCTGGGGAGCCCTGGCCTGGGACAGCAGCCCCGTCTCTGGTGCTGAAGGCTTCAGGCCAGCCGGGTGTGGGGTCTGCAGCTGCAGCTGGACCTTAGTGGTTCTGCCGTCCTTCCTTTGGGCGAGGCAGACCGAGAGGCCACACTTAGCCTCATCTTTCACTGGTGGTGGTGGCTTCTCAGGCTCGGAGTGCGGTGCCCCACAAAGGCGCCTCCATCCGGCCTTCCCCAGGCAGGGCCCTGAGGACGCCAGAGGGTGCTGCACTACCAGCTACGGCCGCCCAGGGGCAGTGGTGCCCAGCTTAGTCCCCAACCTCTCCTTCCCACCCGGCTCCCAGGGACGACCCTCCTCAGCCTTGGCTGGATCAGGCGGAGACCTGGAGCCCGGTGGGTACCCAGACGCGGGAGCTTCCGGTCCAGACCGGCATTCACGCCGAACCCTTAGTCCCGATGCCACTTAGAGACACAGCACTGACTGTCCTGAGCGCTTTCAGCAAATGGGGTGTCTGGCTGTAACCACCACGTGGTCAGTGGCGGTGGTAACATTTGAGGCGTGAAGACGGGGGGCTGGGATCTGGAGGTTCAGCCTGTTCTCTGCCACCTTGGCGCAAGGTACAGGCTGTGGGCAGCCCAGCCCCGCGCCCAGCGCCCCACTGTCACGGTCCTTCATTCGAGGAGGAATAAGGTCAGCACCACTGCCACGGCCGCTGGAGGGCCGTCAGGCACGGCCCCCACACGCGGGTGACTTCACCCTGCCCCTTTCCCCAGCCCCTGCTCCACTACGCAGCAGCAAGAACCACACACACGTAAGAATATAGAATTTTATCTTACTTTAGTTAAAAAAAATAACCGTACCACCGAAAGAAGAAGTAGCTTTTTTTTGGGGGGGGGGTTGAGACGGGATGAAAAAAAAAAGCCAAAAGCCAAAAGGAAAAGGAGATTTTATATTCATCTGTATAAACATATATCCGCTAAGGCAAACGCAATCCAGGGCGAAGGCCGCGCATAGGGCTAGGCACGGCCGACGTCTGCAGGTTCCGAGGCCAAAAAAATAAAACCTCTTCGAGTCCCGGGGGAGCCCCGGGCGCTCCTGGGTGTATACTAAAATAAAGAGTTATTGATCGAGTTTAAAAAGCGTGACGTAGTCATGACGAACACCGCGAGTTGCATAACCGTGGCCTCGAAGGCCGTTCACTTGTCTGGACTGGGTGACGGTCACAGTTTCACGACACGGCAAGACAGACGGACGCACACACAGACGTACACGTGAGCGAGTGCACGGGGGCTGTGGGGGAGCGGCTGGTGGTGGGGCCGCGCCTGGCCCATGCTTCCTGGGGGCGGGTGTGACAGGTGGGAGCCGCTGGCGACAAAGCGGGGTGTCACTCGGGGAGGAGGGTGTGAAGGGGCCGGCAGACACTTCCAGCCCATCTTGGGGGGCCCAGTCCCTCCTCCACACCCGTCTCTCTCCACAGCCCCCCAGGACCTTCAGGGTGCTCGGGGGTGTCAGGGAGCAGTGTTTCTGCCCCCCAGAGCCCCTGCCCATGACCCCATGAGGCCTGGCAGAGTGCAGGCCGGTGAGGTAGATTGCACAGCGACCCCTCACCCTGCCGGGCTGGGCCCCATCTCCATATCATAGCGGAGTACCAGGGCCTGGGTCCCTTCACCAAAATAGAAGCCCTTCCCATCCAGCAGAGAGAAGGGGGCAGAGCTGGAGGAGAGGCCCTGGGGCGGGGTCTTGTGCCTGCTGTGGGCCCCATGGGTCCCACTGTAAGGCGACAGCCATGATCCTTCTTGTGTCTGCTGCTCCCATCTGGTAAGGGACAGACAGGGCCCGGGCAGGGCAGCCTGCTGGTTAGAGCAGGTGAATGGGCCAGGGGTGGGTGAGGGAGCAGGCACCCGGGACAAAGGAACCTCGAGCCAGGGCGGGAGGTGCAGGGGTGGCCAGGGAGGGCTGGGCCAGGCATGGGCGGCACGGGGCTTGCAACCGCAGGAGCGGCGGGAGGGGACAGGGAGTGCCTGGGCAGCGCGGGAGACTCCTGGATGAGCCTGATTCACAATTCAGGTTTTTAGCGGCAGTCCCGTGCCTGCCTCCCATGCGCACCCTCACCCCCCTCGCCTGCCTGCCGGGCCAGGGCAGGGCCCGGTGGTGGCTGTGGCCCGGCTACTTGAAAGTGGACTGCAGCTCCTTGAAGGCCGCCTTCCGCTGTTTCAGCTCCTCCGCCTGCTTCTTCCTCTCCTCCTGCTCCGCCTTGATCTCCTCTTCGAAGCGGCTGGACACGTTGACGGCCTGCGCCTGAGGGCGGGAGGGGTCAGGGCCAGCAGGGCCTCCAACCTGGTCCCTTGAGTTGCGGTCACCTTCCCAAGCCTCAGTTTCTCCATTTGGAGCCTGGGGTCCTGCGGCTGTCCCCAAGCTGGGGCTGAGGTCAGCATCCCCAAGGGGACGTGCGGTCCCAGACCTACTCTGCCGTCCCCCAGTCCCCGCTGCTGACGGCCTATGCCCACCCCACGGGAAGTCAGCGTGGACGGGAAGGGGCCTGGATGCACGAGGTCCTCACTCCTCACCTTGGCCTCGAAGAAGCTCTTGGCGCCCTTGACGCCCTCAGTGGAGACATCGATCTCGGAGAGGCGTGCCAGCACGTGCAGCCCGCTGTCCTCCTGCAGCTCCCCGGCCGCCGCCTTTCGGAAGATCAGGAGGAACTGCAGCGGGGAGGAAGGGTCCGAGGTGTCAGGAGGGACCTCAGGGGCCAAAGTCCCTGCCGCACCAGGCCAACCTCGGGCTTCTGCCCTCTGGGAGCCGAAGAGCTGGGCCTCACTCCCCCGTGCCCGTCCCTCCCTCTCTGCTCCTCAGTCTGCCCATCTGCACAATGGGCGGCCAGGTGCCTCATCTGTTCTGTCCACATTCAGCTTCCGCTGACAGCCACAACCCACCTTTCATCTCCCAGTGCTCCCCAGACAAACATCCCACTTGTTCCTTCTGCAAGGAAGGCTCGGAGACAGCAGTTGCCTTAAGTCTCAGGCCCAAGGGGATCTGAACCTGTGTCCCCCTTCAAATGGCTCCCTAGGCGGCCCACCCCTCTCCCTGGCCCCTCTTAGCTTCCAGCCGGCTTCCCCAGGCCAGGACTCTCCCAAGATGCCTGCGCCGCCCCACCCCTCTCCCTGGCCCCTCTTAGCTTCCAGCCGGCTTCCCCAGGCCAGGACTCTCCCAAGGGCCCCCCTGCAAGCCACCTCAGGCTCCCCAGGGTCAAGGGCCACGGTCACCCGGCTTCGAGACCCCTTGTCCTTCCCGTGGAACAGAGCAAGGACCAAGTTCCTGAGGGTGAAGTCGCCCAGTGTAGTGCCAGCTGCCTGTCAGCTGCGGCCCGTGTAGGGAGAGGGCTGGCCAGGCTCACCTCCCGGAAGCTGAGCTTGCTGTCGAAGTCCTCGTCCACCTCCTTGATCATGTTCTTCAGGCCCAGGTGGGTCTGGGGAGCCCCAAGTTTCTCCATCATGAGCTTCAGCTCCATCAGATCTATGAAGCCATCTCGCCCAGCGTCGTACCTATGGGTGCAGAGGCCACAAGGTTAGTGCAGGGATCCTAGGGGCTCAGAGTGCCTCTTCCCACGGTGTTGATGCAGGAGATGAAACATGAAAATACTTTACCTGCTAATCTTTTGTTTTTTTTTTGGTATTGGGGACCGAACTCTGGGACCTTGCACTTGCAAGGCAGGCGGCAGCACCGCTGAGCTAAATCCCAGGTCCGATATAACTTTTTAAAAAAATCTCCCAATCTGTCAGATGTGTGATACACCAAGCTTGTGTTTTCTAAAAAGCGAAGAATGGATTTTAGGAACGGAGGTTAAGAGTGGGAAAATCTAGCTCCTGAGAGGCAGGAGGAGACTGGAAGGGGTAGCTGGGGACCCCACTTTACAGGGGAGCTTTATAGAGCAAAACCCACATGGGTTACAGCTATGATCGCCCTGTAAGGTCACAGGAACAGTCGTTCAAGTAACAGCAATCCAACGGGGGAACAAGTCACGCGACAAGTGTGCAGGGAAAGAACAAAGGCCTTTTGTAGGAAAGGGTGGGTCTGGAGGTCTTGGTCACCCCTGGGGCGACGGATGTCTGTCGAGACTTATCTCGGCCAGATGTTCGTCTTCTGAGGAAGTGGGCAGACTTGGTCATTGTGTCAGTCTCGGGCCAGGTCTCTAACACAAGTCCCCGGACAGCTGGGATACGTAGCCCCGACTGCCTGTAACATTTCCCCCTACCTTAGCTGACTACAATACTGTCCCTGTCATGGCTGGAAGGGGCCCAGGGCCCTGACACACCCACGGGGTGTGGACCCATCTCGCCACAGACACTGAGGAGCCTCGCAGCCCACACCCCGGCTTCACACCTGGTGGCAGAGCTCGTGGGCCAGGCAGGTGATCCCCCGGCTGCAGAGGGCGGGCAGGGGAGGCTTGCTGCAGGGTTTCCTGTGAGCCACAAGATGTCTGCAGTGTCCCCCCGCCATGCTGTGACAGCCGGACATTCGTGTCTCCCAGGCCTCAGGACGCGTGGGGTTGGGGGAGACCACCCCAAGTTGAGAAGCACAGGCTACCAGACTGAAAGGTGGCATCTCTTGTCTCTCTGTGCTGGGAATCAAACTTTAGGGCCCCAGCTTCTGTGAAGCCCCTGGGGCAGGGAGGGTAAAAAGGACCTAACAGGAGCTAGGATGCCAGTGGGTCTCCTGCCACCTTAGTCAAGGAGGGAGGCAGTGGCAGGGCTGAGGGTCACAGCAGGAGGGACAAGCCTAGGGTATGTCCGGGAACGCAGAGCCCTGAGCCCCAGGAGTGGCGGAGAACCCGGGCAGCCTGGCCTGGGGACGGTGACTGGAGGCCTCTGGCCTGTGTGTGCCCTGTAAACCACCAGGCAGAGACGGGTGGGGGCAGGGCTGCAGTGGTGACACCCAGGCTGGTGCCCCCCTGGGGGAAGCCACACAGCCCCTTATGGGCTGTCCAAACACCTGCCCTGCCTGTTTCCTGGGACAGGCTTCCCATGTGGATGCAAACTCCTGCAGGCCCGAGACCTCCAGCTGGCTGAGTGCCAGCACTGTTGGAGGCAGCGGTGTGACACAGAGGCCACGTCCTAGAGCCTTGGACGCCCTACGAACACATGGCTCACTCCTGGATGTCTTTAGGCATCTCTGGCTCCCTCCTCTAATTAGACATAAACTGCACGCCTCATAGCGACTGCTTCCTGACATTTGCCTTTGTGCTGGAAAATTCACTTAAGCTGGCTCAGAGAGTTTAAGTGACCTGCCTAAGGTGACACAGCAGTCAAGAGGAGCTGGGCTTCCACCCAGGTCCATCAGGCTTGTAAACAGGCACGGTTGCTCTGTGCCCAGCCACCTGTCCATGTCCTGGGGCCACAGACTGTGTTTGCTCTGCACAGAGGGGAGCATTTGGGTGAGAAACAGTTCTCAAGCGAGCGAGTCAGTGGTTGGAAGTGACAACGCAAAAAGACGTGACTTGGGAACCCTGGAGGGAGCACAGGGTCCCCAGGCTGCCTTCCTGCCCCTGGAGAGGGCTGGTGGGGGCAGACAGGCAGAGGGGGCTGGGGGCCTCCACCTGGAGGGACTCGGGTGACAGCAGGGTCCCTCCTTGCAGCTCTGCAGCACCCGGGCAGGAAAGGCGCCTGCCCTGTGCTCCACCCCGCTCCCGGGCCCATCGGGCACACGGAGCCCCCACCTCTCTCTGGACTTGGGCTCCAAGGGGAGCCAGGCTGCCTGGGCTCCTCAGCGGCATGGCCCCGTGGTCCTCAAAGGTGCCCAGGGGCCATGTGGCAACACCTGCAGGTGCTCTGTTCTCTCCCCGGGGAGAGGGTGCCCCTGGCGCCGGTGGGCAGAGGCCCAGACACTGCTGAACGGCACAGGACACGGGTCAGTCCCGGCCCCGTGTCAGTGGCACTGAGGTGCAGAAGCCCTGCTGGGGGAGGCGGACTGAGCTGACCGGCCGAGCACTTCAAAGGTCCCGGCTGGGCAGAGCTGCTCTGTGCGCGGCAGCCACACACCCCGCACCAGTGAGGCTCATCTGCGGCCCTGGTGTTTATAGCCCTCTGCAGCCCTGCGAGGTCAGGGGGGGACCAGGGACTCAGGCCCGGGCCTGGGAACCCCAACGGCAGCTCCGCCTGAGTTCCAGCTGTCTTCGTGGCTCGACTGTGTGTTTTCCCGGAGCTATCGCAATTCAGCCTCAGAGGAAGCAGTGCAGATAAAGCCTCTGAACTTGGAAGGAACTGAAGTTTCTGGATGCTCTGCTTCTGGCAGCTTCCAGGCCTGGCTGGGCCAAGGATCAAACTGTGGTTTGAACGGCCGCCCATATCCATCAGGGGACAATCAATTACGGGGTGGGGCTCCCCATTGGCAGGCTCTGGCCCCGGGGGGACAGTGCAGGGGCTGGCCGTGGTGCCATCCCATCCATCACCAAGGCCCGCAGGAGGCGGCTTTGCCCGCGCGCCTCTGGACCAACACCGCTAAGTGGCCTAGACCTGGGGTCAGGTCAGCCCGACGGCAGACGGCCTGGAGGCTGCGTGCTCAGACCTGCGTCCAAGCCCCAGCTCTGCCACCTGCTGGCTGGCGACCTTGGCACCGAACCCCGCAGACCTCCACTTCCTCAGGCACATCCGTGACTGGCGTTGGCACGGACATGAGAGTTGGAGGAGCGGATGGGCACTTTATACCCTTAGTTCAGAGCCCGGCCCGCGGAGACGTGGATACACACTGACAACTGCCAATTACCACTGCTGTCCCCATCCACCTTCAGGGCTATTAAGGAGTAAGTACGACTATGATTAGAACTGTAAAATGGCTAGCACACAGCAGGTGCTTAAAACCTGTTATTTTCATTATTATAACAATGGCTGTTATATGGACCTTTTGTTTTGCTTGTTTGTTGAGACAGGGTCTCACTATGTAGTGAGACTGACCTGGAACTCACTATGTAGCTCAGGCTGGTCTCGAACTCACAGCGATCCTCCTGCCTCGGCCTTCCAAGTGCTGGGATTACAGGCGTGCACCACCACGCCTGGCTCTATGGACGTTTCTTTTTTTTTTTGGTCAGTCCTCGGGATTGAACCTAGGGACTCTGCACTGAGCTACATTCCCAGCTCTTTTTAAAAATCTGAGACAGTCTCACTAACATGCCCAGCCTGGGCTTAAACTTGCAATCCTCCTGCCTTAGCCTTCCAAAGTGCTGGGAAGATAGGCGTGTGGAACAATACCCAGATACATTAAGTACTTTACACCTTAGTATTTAAAAATGGTGATATTTGTAATGATAAAAAATAGGGGCTGGGCCGGGCGTGATGGTGCACGCCTGTAATCTCAGCACTCGGGAGGCTGAGGCAGGAGGATCGCTGTGAGTTTGAGACCAGCTTGGGCTACATAGAGAGTTCCAGATCAGTCTCAACTACATAGTGAGACCCTGTCTCAAAAAAACAAAAACAAAAACAAAAAAACAAAAAAAGGGAGCCTGGGATTTAGCTCAGTGGTGCCATTGCCTGCCTCGCAAGTGCAAGGTCCTGCATTACGTCCCCGGTACCGAACAAAACAAAACACTGGCTTCTCCCAGGGGCTCCAGTCCTGACAGTGCAGGGGTCGGGGGAAAGGCTTATGGGGGCCTGGCCTGGTCCCTCTACCTCCTCCCCTTTGGCCCAACTGAAAGACCCCGCAGCCCGGGAGCAGTGGAAGGGCAGAGGCTATGGGACAGGCAGAAGAGGGCTCACCCGATGGCTCTCCTGTCTCTCTGGAGGGAAGTGACGAAGCGGGAGACGCTCGCTGTGCTGCCTGCAGGTGGAGGCGCACAGTCCTGCATGTGCCCGCCTGGGGCAGACCTCTCCTCCCGTGCCCTCTTCCCTGAGTGGGTACTGAGGGTCCGAGGGTCCAGGACCAGGCAGGCCACCCCCAAGATCCATCCACAGCCTCCATCTGCTTCCCATTATGGAGGGAGTGGGGACCAGAGAGGGCAGCCAGCAGTCTGAGGCCACAGCAGGCAGGTGGACTTCAGACTCTGCTAGCTGGAAGCTTTCTCTCTCCCTTCTCCCTCTCCCGGAGCGTCCCACATTCTGGGGCTTGGGAGACTGGCTGAGAACCGTGTGGGGCCTGCTCGGGAAGCCAAGGCTATCCAGCAAACCGGGCAGCAAAGCTGCAGGCTGGGAGCTCAGCGCTTTTCTCCAGGGAAGGGGGCTGCGGGCCTGGCATCACGCCCACATTCCTGCCTGCCTCCTCTGAATAGTTCTCAGAAGCTGCTGCCCGGGACACTGGTGACAGAACCCCTCCCATCCCCCACGGCACACCGGCCGCTTCTGGACACCACCAGTTCTGATAACCAAGGGGCGCGGGGCCCCGCACCCAGGCCTCCCACACCCACACAGTTGGCACCGGCCAAGCTGCTGAGCCCTCACCACTCAAGTGTTTGGTGCCAGATCTTTACAAGAACTGTGAAGCAGGCGTGACCATCCCTGATTGACAGACGAGGAGACCCAGGCTCAGAAAGGAAGCTAAGGAGCCACCACAGGTAGAGGCAAGAAAGGTGTAGCTGACAGAGGGCTCCCTCTGAAGACGGGCGCTCACCTGCCCTAAGGAGGCCCCTTCGGGCTGTGTCCTTTTCCTGCATCCTGAAGCAGCCATCACAGCTGCTGCGCAGAGGAGGGGGCCAGCTGGCTTGGGTGCGTGAGGGACCCCGAGTCTGTCCAGGCCTTTGCTGATGGCCTTTTGGGCGGGCAGAGCCCTGGGTGGACAGGCCACTGGAGAGGGTGTGGCTTAAAGGCTCAGGAGCCTGCAGTCCCACTGGCTTTGGACTCAGAAATCAGATTCACCTGGTCGATGCCTCTGTTCCTGTCAGTGCAACGGTGGATATGGCACAGGCAGCGCACAGTAGGTGCTCACCACCTATACATGGCACTGTAACAGTCCCCTTCCCGCCTCGGGGAAGCGCCAGGGACCGGTGTGTCCCGGGAAATGGAAAGGCAGGTTCTGCAGGGCTGCTAAGTCCTCGACACACAATTCCTGACCTGCCCGCTCCTGGAGCGAGGCCCAGCTGGCATCGCGCGGTGGACGTCCCGCCACTTCCCCCTGTCCTGTCTTCCCGGGGAGGGAGTGGGGTGGGAGTGAGGACCCAGGGAGGGAGCCAGGATGCGGCGCTCGCTGCCCACGGCTGCTCAGTGTTCTAGGACCCAGTGGGAGCCTCCCAGCTGGCAGTGACCTGCTGGGTGCCATCGAGGCTGGGGTCATCCTGACGTTGTGTTCGAGCCACCCTCACGCTGAGCCACAGTCGCAGAGGGCCATCTCCTCCACCACTGTCTCCTTCCCTGCCTGCCCTTCCTCATAATGGTGCTATTACGATCCGGATCATACAGAGTGTTTATCGAACGCCCCTATTATTATTTAGTCTTATTAACCCTGAACAGCTCAGACAGAGGAGGTAACTAACCTATCGAAGGTTGGCCCTAGGCAGGTGGCAGGAAGAGCTGTGGGCTGGCCTGACCACACCTGGGGTGTCCGGTTAAGATGCGGACTGTTCTGGCAGGTTCAAAATCCCACCTCTGCCCCTTATGAGCTGTGTGACTTTGGAAAGTCACACAGCCCTTCTGAGATGCAGCCTCGGCGCCTATAATATAGGGATGTTCATCTCCAGGGTGGTGAGAGGACTCAGCGGTGGCCTGTGAGTGGCCGGATGCGAGGATGGGCGCCTCTGTGCTCTGGACTGCCGGGCCCTGGCCTTGACTAGCCACGCCCTGGCACCGGCCCCTCCCCTCCCCTCCCTGAAAGGCGGAAGTGCAGCCCGGGGCAGTCAGCTCCGGGAGGGTGTGGGGATTGGCCACACCTCCTCCCGCTTGGCTGGCCTTGGGGAAGGGCCTCTGACCTGCTGGAGCCCACGGGGCCCAGGCTCTTCCAGCTGAAGCCAGGCCCACACCTGGCACTCAGGCAGCAGAGGCAGAGGAGACAAGACTTAGAAGAGGAGAAGGCAGGAGGGTGCAAGTCAAGGGGGACCCAGAAGTCCCCCGAGAGGGTGAGGAGAGGTGACTCAGTGCAGACAGGAAGTGGGAGGAACAGAGTGGGCCCAGGCTCAGGGAATCCTTCCTCCCCAGGGTGTGGGCAGCTCCCTGAGAGCCGAGCCCTGGGCTGTGGCAGGTGAGGACCCGGACTCTGCCTCTGTAGAGAGCTCCTCTAAGACCCTGCGGACGTCCTCACCCCCAGCCAGGGCCACAGTCCACAGACTGCTCGGGGCTCCCTGCAGGTGCACCTGGTTTTAATCTTGCCACAGCATAAAACCTCGAGCAAGTGACACAATCTCTTTGAGCCTCTGTTCCCTCTGCTGGCAAGTGGGGACAATGTCACATCAGCCTCCCTGTGTCGGTGTGAGGGTCAAATCGACCCCCAAGTATCGCAGCCTTAACCACGTAGCACGGAGGACGCAGGGCAGGGCTGGCTGCAGCGACAGCCTCTGGTCCGTGGGAGGAACAGGAGCCCTTCCATTCCAGCCTCTCTGACCCTAAAGACCCCCGAACATCACCATTCTCCATGAGACTTTAAGCCTCTCGAGCCTCCATTCTCTGGAACTGGCTCATAGCAGAAGTTCAATACGGCGTTTGTTGGACAAATGAGCAAGTGGACGGAACCTTGCTTTCCATAAACATCCATTTTCATAAACAGCGTGCAGCCCAGACAAGGGTTGGGCTTTCTCACGAGTCCTCGATCCTTTATCGGGAAGGCTCTGCAGCCCCAGGGGAGACAGGCTCAGAGAAGCCCCATAGCCAGTAGTGTGGGGAGGCAGGTGCTGGAGTCCCAGTCCTGGGTCATTCCCGGCTATTCGGTCTTCCCTTTTTTCTGCCACCTGCCTTCCACATAATTAAGTGATAATGAATTCATTTCTCCACTTTTGCTATTTACCGAAGCCGTATGTAGCTGTCAATCAGAGTCTGCCTGGCAGGAGGAAAGGGAGATTCTCACACTGGGTGTTTGTCACTCTGGTCCACGGCAAAGGGTTGTGGCCAGCCTGGCAGCAGCAGCCGGCATGGGGCTGTCCTGGTATCTGTGCTGGTGACCACCAGCCAGGAGAGGGCTATGTTGGACTGGGGGTGATGGCGACAGTGACTTAGTGAGTGCTCTCTTTGTGCCAAGTGCTAGATTAAGTACTTTCCAGCCCTATGAAGTGGGTACTATTTCATCTGTGTCCCAGGGTGAGGAACCGAGCCGGCATTCAGGTTTAAAGAACTTGCTCCAGGGCCCACACCTGGGATCGGAACCCATGGCTTCGGGCTCCGCAGTCCAAGGATGGAAAGGGCAGGTGGCCTCAGGAACCCGGGAGGGGAAGAGCAACCAGAACCAAAGGGAAGCCAGCCTGCCTGCCTGACGCAAGGGATCATGTGACGGGTGGGGAGGAACCGGGGCCAGGGATGGACAGGAACTAGGCCACCTTCCTCAGGTTCCAAGGCTGCCTGCCTTCCAGCAGGTTTCGGCTTCCAGAGTAGAGTCTTACTGTGCCAACCAGGGGTGGGCGTCCCTGAGGGTCTCTGAGGCTACCTGTGCCCCTTCCTAGAGGGAGGGAGGAAGAAGGAAGGGGGTCTGAGGCTGTGGATCCCCGAGGCCACACGAGGGGCCGAGCGTCCACTCCACGACGCGATGCCCTGTGTGCCCTGGCTGGACCTTGTGCATCATCTCCAAGTCTCTGCCCAAGAGTGGGGACCACGGTCCCCACAGCGCAGATGAGGGCGGAGTCCTCCGCATGACCCTGAGCAAATACACACTGGGGTCTCAGCTTCCTCTTCTTTAGAATGCGGAGGAGGGCAGAAGCCAACTCCTGTTCCGGGAGGAAGTCCACGGCTATAAGCATGGAGGTCAGTGATGGCACAGAGCCCTGTGTCCCCGAGGGTGCCACCCTCAGGATGCACCTGTAGGACCACATGCAGTTCTGACATGTAGAAGGGCTCAGAAATACGAAGCTCAATGCCAAAGGACCTGGGGACCCCTCACATACAGCCGCACCTTCAACAGATGGGGAGACTGAGGCCCGGGGAGGGCCAGCTGGCTGGGCTGGAAGTCTGGCTTCCCAGCTGTGGCCCCTGAGGAAAGGCCGGCTCCCAGTCCTCTACCGTCTCTGTTTGTTGGCTGCGCCTTTCTCCCTGCCCTCTGTTCTCAGCAAGGCCCTGCTGGGACCCAGGAGGCTGCAGGCCCACTTGGGTGGTGGAAACAAAACAGTGGTTTTGTCTTTCATGAGAGTCGTCTGTTGGCCGCTCACAGCCGGAGCTGGGCCGGCTGGGCTGCACAGCGAAGCCTTGTTTCCTTGAATACAAAATCTGCAGCCTCTCACCCTGGCCAAGGCCCCCAGCGGGCGACACTTCCTGCTCCAGAGGTCCAGCTTCCCGGCCCTTTCCCGTCCCCTCCACCCTCCCAAAACTTCAACCAGCAGTGCTGCTGCCAAGAGGTGGGTAGCTTAGGAGCCCAGCGTCCCGACCCCTCCAAAGCACCCCTTATCGAACTGGCCCCCAACGGCGTGCTTTGCAATCACAGATTCAAGACCCTGCCCTCATGCCTCTGCCAACCAAGCTGCGGCCTCCCATCCCCTGCTCCTTTGGGGGTGTCTGGGTCCTCCCAAACCACTCGGGGTGGGGCTGGGGTAGGGATCCCACGGAAGCCCGAGGAGGAGGGCTCTCCGGGAGAGGAGAAACTGGGGCTCCTGTCAAACAGATGCAGGTACATGAGGTAGAGAATCGGCCTTTCACATGGAGGATGTGAACGGCAGACACCGGAGCCTGTGATGGGAAACCCAGAAAGGAACAACGTGGGCTTCTAGCCCTGTGGTCTCAGCGAGTTATTCGACTGTCTGTGCCCCAGGTCCTCATGGGTACAGGGTGATGAAAAACCCCAAGTTATGGCGTCACCGGGAGCCCCGGTGAGCTCATCTGGCACCGGTCCTATCAAGGCTGAGATCTGTCCTTGTACAGCGCCTGCCTCTGGGCTCTCCCATGGGGCAAACTACAAGGAAGTCACTCAGCAAAGCCACAGCTACCCTGGGCGGCATTTTCAGTCCACTCTTCCTGGAATATGGAAACTCCCTCTCCTGGCTTGCTCTGCTGGCTTTGAGGAACAGGACCTGGATTCGCAGCTGGGCTGCTCCGGCCCTGGACTTCCACAGAGGTCCAGGTCAGAGGGTCGAGGGTTTGACTCCCACAAAAGTGTGAAGCTTCCAGCCACGAGAGACGGGGAACCAAAACCCTCTTCCCCTACACGGCCGGGCGCGGAAGCTGCTGATGCAGCTGGAGACAAGTGGGCAACAGCTTTCCTCACGCCGTGGGCTTGCACAACCCCTTCCGGGCTTCCTGCTCTGTGTCTGGGCACTGCCAGCTGTGTGTAGCGGGGCCTACCCTCTCTGCCTGTGCAGCCCAGGTGGGGCCAGGCTTGGCGCACCCCTCCCTTAGCCTTGGACTGCCTGTGCCTGCTGGCCTAGACCTCTGGTCTCTCCCACCATGGCCTCAGCCTGCAGATGGTCCTCCCTCCCCCTGATCTGTTCCGCCCCAGGACCAGGGCTGTCTGCTCTCTGGGAGCCAGGGCAGGGGACGGGCAACAGGAGGTGGGGAAAGCCACCAAAGGGAGGGGGACTGGGCGCTCTCATCACCACTGGGCCCAAACGTAGCTGCAGAGGAGTGGCCACCGTCTCAAGCCCCAGTAGGGTGGAACCAGGGACGGACCCAAAGGGGAACTGGGGTCCTTTCTCTCTAGTTTCTCCCAAGAGTATCAAGTTTTGTCTTTTGCGGGGTGTGTGTGTGTGTGCGTGCGTGTGCGTGTGCGTGTGTGAGGGCCCATTTAACCAGAAAAGACAGGGGTGGGCCTGGGGCATCGCGATGGTAGAAGCAGAGAAGGGTGCAGGGTTGGGTGGGGCAAGAGGAGGAGGCAGGATGGGGGTGGAGGGGACTAAGCCCAGAGGGGACTCAGCCCCGAGGGAGAACTGCAGGGCAGTTTTCAAGCAAGGCAGAGCAGAGGAGAGAGGCCAAGGGGCACCTCCCTGGGAAGGCCACCTTATCAAGAGTGGGGGGGCAGGAGAGGAAGGGGCTGCGGAGAGTCTCTGCCCCCAGTTTACTAGTAAACGCTGAAAAACTCCGGGTTGGGGGTGCCCCCGCCAGAACCCACGTCTTAGGGGATCTGAGCAAGCAGAGGAAATGAAAGAAGCCCAGGAAACTGACGTGTGCGGAGGTGGCATGGGTGCAAGGAATGGTCCCCCTCCCCCAGGCACTAAGGGTGCGTCTCTGACCAGTGAGTGTTAGGGTGGGGTGGGAGGAGTCCTCGCTTTCAGTGTGGTCCAGGGGTGGGGAGAAGGGTCGCCAACAGGCAGAAGTCCCGGGCCTGGGGCTGGCGCCCAAGTGTGGTAGTGGCGGGGTCTCGCGATTACTTGGGAGGAGCTTCGGGTCCCCGGTGCGGGGGCTCCTAGTGTATCCCTGGGTGGAGGGATCGGGGGCTCCTGGTGTATCCCTGGGTGGAGGGATCACGTACCAAGGGCCAGGGATTTCCCGACCCAGACGCGCGGTGGGGTAGCGGGTCTGGAAGCCTCGTGATGACCGGGAAGGGGCTGCCGAGTCCCCAGCCCTACAGTGAGGGGTTCTGGGACGCCCGGCTGGTGGCTGGGCCCAGGGTGGCACG